GTTGGATGTAGCATTGTTTTCTTTATAGTTTACGTTTACGTCGTGGTGTCACATCCCCCCCCCCCACCCCCCCTCTTGATATAATTTTCGATTTGTACTTAGAAGACTATTTAACTTTAACTAATGGATCTGGAAAATGGCATTTCATTCTATAAATTTTACAATTTTTTGCCTTTGGTGTCACCCCCCTAAATGGTGTCACCCGTTGCGGTCCGCACCCCCCGCTTCGCCTTCGCTACGCCTCTGCGTTAGGCTACAGAGGAGTTAAACGAAGAGATCAACTTCTACTTACGATGGATATTTTTTAATATAAAAATATTCTGAAGGCAACATTTTGTATTTTATATGTCCTGATTATGTATTTATACTATATTATTATGCTTGCCTACTACTGCTAAAAAGTTTATTTATAGGCTGATTCTCTCAATGTCTTGCACGACAAAGTGATATCGCCTGTAGTGTTATTATAACGATTGGGCTCTGTTTGACCCACAAACACTGAATCCCACTGCCGAAACGGTGGGGGGGGGGGGGGGGGGCTTTTTGGAACTTTTAACCTTTTTCTTTTTTAAAATTATTTATATGTAACAAATATTAAAATTCCATTGTAAAAGTTTTAATTTTTTATGAGGTAAAAGGGCCCCTATGTGCCTTGGGCCCCCATGCCTTGCTTACGCTAGCTTTACGGTAGCTACGCCACTGTGTCAGTGGTCCTTTTGTCTGGAGCCAAATTGACAGGAGCCTTTTTGTCGTGAGCCAAAATGACGCTAGCCTATTTGTCGGGAGTCGTAATGACGGGGGGCGTTTTGTGGAGAAACTAAATGGCGGGAGCCTATTTGTCGGGAGTCGTAATGACGGGGGCCGTTTTGTGGAAAAAACTAAATGACGGGAGACTATATGTCGGGAGCCAAAATGACGGGAGCCTATTTGTTAGGAGCCTTATTGACTGGAGCCCTTTTGTCGGGAGTCTATATAACGGGAGCCTATTTGTCGGTAGCCTAAATGACGGGAGCCTATTTGTCGGGAGCCTATATGACGGGGTCCATATGTCGCTGGCCCTTTTGACGGGGCCGATTTGACGGGGTCGTTTTGACGGGGTCGTTTTGTCGGGGTCGTTTTGACGGGGCCGTTTTGTCATTGGCCGTTTTGACGCCGCACGTAAACACACTATGAACTCTGTTATGGTTATTTCTCCTCAGGTCCCATGCACATTCTTTTCTTATTGTCAAATATTTACATTGCTTGTTTACACCAATGTGTAACTCAAGACTCAGTTAGTCCTGTACTTTGGTATTTAATGAATACTTGTTTGTAAAGACCAAATCTAATTTGTTTTATTGAAAAAAAAAATAGATCTACTATATGCACTATATGGGAAATAAGGAATAAGATAAGATTTTTTTTAATGCGCTGACATGAGTAAAAAGAAATATTTTAAGCAAAGCCAAGACATAGACTGTAAGCTCTCACTTAACTAAATAAATGTATGGTAAATTTTTTTATTGTAATCAACATAACTTTCCGGTTGCTTAAAATTTGTATCATTTTAATTTTCTGTATTACCAAATTTATTTCAGCTCTACTTAAAAGCCCAACATCCCCCCCCCCCCTCAGACCACCACGCCGATTAGAAAAAAATCCCTTGAATCATCAATTAATTACACATTTGCATTTTCTGGTTTTTTTAAAAATAAAATTGTAATTAGACATTTTGTATTAGATCTATGTATAAGTAAACCATCTTAAATGAATGAAAGTGGGCTACAAGTAAGAAAGAAGTATTACTATTGTAAATCTGTATCAGTCCTCACAAGCCGATGATGAAAACTGTAATACTAAAACGAACATACAAGGCAAACTGACGCTGTAAATTACATGACTGAGGCGGTAAAAAACATAGAATTTTAAAAATTCAAACCAAAATAAAAATAACAAAGTAAATAATTAAAAAGTCGAACCTCCATTTGACCCACAAAATACTCATTAACTATAGAATTTAACAACATATAGGTATACATAGTTATATGTATGTCTGTATTAATGTGTATGGTGTGGCAAATAGTCACCCCCCCCCCCCCCCCCCCGCGGCCTCAAAATGGGTCGCTATCTTCTATTCGAGCCTCCTATAACCCTAGAGATGTGTATAGGTACAGCTTTGTTGTGTTACATCTAACGTATTCTAGAGTTTTTCCAGCATGGCTTTCATATCTCCGTGTGGTTGCACTGCAAATAAACTCGATGTCAGGATCTACTGTCTGCTTGACGCAGACATAACCGTGACGTTGATGGTGCTAATTGACCTGTTGACCGTGTTGCATGTCACTCATGTAGTGTGACGTTCAATAGTTGACCTAACGAACCCGCTGTCAACCTTTGAACCTCGGGCTTGTACTTTTACTCACCAACAACAATAACATGACCTCCTGATTTAGATTTTTACATGCTTGCAGCTTTTACGATTCATGATAATGGTTTATTGAGGATTCGCCATTTGGACATCGCTAGAGACATGCTACATCTTTTGCTAACACCGCCTGGGGAGCTGTTATGTGGGACGAAATTCCGGATAGCAGAAGATTAGCGACAGCCTTTGTTCGAAGCTTAAGCGGATTTAAAAACAAACGGTCTTGATTTTGTTTCAACGTCCTTCGAATATTAGAATCTCATGTGTATTTATACGAGCTATCTGAAGACAAAACGGCTATTTTTTTTATTTCATGTCTTACAATAGTTTCGTTTATATTCCGGATCACACTTTTTGCCAAGAAATGGATTTTTTTTTACTATAACAAACACATTAACATAGAACATTTCTGGGAAGTTAGCTGTGATTGCGTTTTCATTACTTGATGCATTGTGTTGACAAAACAAACAGGATTTAATTAATTAATTAACTTATATCGTAATTAATCAATTATGTCTACTTTAAGAATGACATCAAACAATGACGCCGTACATAACAGGTGTGGCAGGAATAAAGGATGGAAAGAATTTTCTTTCTAGAATGAAATAAAACTTTCATAATTATATTAAATTAAAACAACGCACGATTGTCAATTAATTAAATTGTAAAAAAAATCTCCTTTCTTAGAAAAACTTCACAATGAATATAACACAATTTATGTATTTTTTATGTAGACATACAATTTATGTAGTTTTTATGTAGACAAGTATTCAAATTAGAGTTTTCATAGATGGAAAGTGTGTATTCGCCACTTGATTCTACTGGCAGAAATCATACTTGCGAGGGGCGAACGATCCCATATGTTTGGGAATGTTCTAGCACAAATCACCAGTCCAGCGACGCACGAACATATCCCATTTGTTTGGGAATGTTCTAGCAGAAATCGTACTTGCGACGGGCGAACGGTCCCATTTGTTTGGGAATGTTCTAGCACAAATCACCAGTCCAGCGACGCACGAACGATCCCATTTGTTAGGGAATGTTCTAGCAGAAATCACCAGTCCAGCGTCGGGCGAACGATCCCATTTGAGCAGATCATCCCCCTGAGTGGGAGAGAAAAAGGCCGCGAGGAATTCAAACATCCTCTCCAAGTCTGATGGAGTTGTGCCCCTGCCGGATTAATGCCCCTGTTCGAGTTCTGTCCCTTGTTTCGCTGCAAGCTCTGGTCCGTCGCTTAGCTTTTCCCATCTATCGACCAACTCGCTGATTAGCTTCTTATTTCCCTTTTTATATCTTAAAACTAACTTGAAAAAATAACACAACTTCCCTATAAAACAAAAATAATATTATAGTACAGTATACTAATTGATGTTTATTCATATCAATATTGGTTTACTTCCCTTTATTAAAATATTTTTCCCTTGGTTTGTTATCTCCCTTGGCATCCAAATCAATCGAATTGTTATTAATTGTGACCACTACATTATTCCAACACGCCTAGGGGGAAATAAATTTCTCCGTCCCCAGCATCACAACACAGGATCATTTAATACAAATATTTGACGTTTTAACGTGGGTATCGTACTCCTAAGGTATAAACAATCCTCCCCCCACCCGTCATCTTGACCCCACTACACACATGTCCATGTATTTCCAGACACAACACAGGCTTGATGTAAAGACATGTAGCTTTGTTTCGTGGTTTTATGAAAGTATAGCTTTTGTAATTAATCCTTAGCCGATATCAATAATTGATGTGTTACAGAGAGTGGTTGGTTGGTAGTAAATTTGAAGTTTATTGTTAGTCTAGGACTGGTGTATGTTGGTGTTGCTTTGTTGGTCTAGGGCTGATGTATGTTGGTGTTGTTAGTCTAGGACTGATGTATGTTGGTGTTGTTGGTCTAGAGCTGTTGTATGTTGGTGTTGTTAGTCTAGGATTGATGTATGTTGGTGTTGTTGGTCTAGGATTGATGTATGTTGGTGTTGTTAGTCTAGGGCTGATGTATGTTGGTGTTGTTAGTCTAGGCCTGGTGTATGTTGGTGTTGTTAGTCTAGGGATGATGTATGTTGGTGTTGTTAGTCTAGGGCTGGTGTATATTGGTGTTGTTATTCTGGGACTGATGTATGTTGGTGTTGCTTTTTTGGTCTACGACCGATGTTTAAAATAATGCACCTGTTAACCAAATGTTAACCAAATGTTAACCAAAAGTTAACCAAAAGCAATGTTAACCAAAAACTAAACAAATGCTAACCAAATGTCAACCAAATGTTAACCAAATGTTAACCAATGTTAACCAAATGTTAACCAAATGTTAACCAAATGTTAACCAATGTTAACCAATGTTAGCCAAATTTTAACCAAATGTTAATCAAATGTTAACCAGATGTTAACCAAATGTTAACCAAATGTTAACCAAATGTTAACCAAATGTTAACCAAATGTTAACCAATGTTAACCAATGTTAGCCAAATTTTAACCAAATGTTAATCAAATGTTAACCAGATGTTAACCAAATGTTAACCAACTGTTAACCAAATGTTAACCAAATGTTAACCAAATGTTAACCAAACATAACATCGAATCCTCTCTCCACAGATGGGTCACCAGTTCAGGAAAGTTCCGACAGAATTTTATGCCCTCTGGGCTGGTTCCACTACCAGAGGTTCTGCTTGACCAAGGCCATGGGCAAATCTGACCGGGCAGTCGCCTTGTACTGTGACGGTTTTGGCGGCATCGGCATCAAGGGCCTATGCATTATTCGTAAGTCTCATTTCATCAAAATACCACCATTTTCTTTCACGATAAAGTCCTTGGCTTCCATTTTTTTTTCGACATTTAAGGTTAATATCTAGTACGGGCTAGTTTAAGTGAAGTGATACAAAATTAAAACAATTTTTAATAGACTTCCATTGTTAGCGAGGAGTATGTCAAAGTTTTCCAGCAATGTTCGTTCCGTTGGGATAGTTAGAAAAACCTTAAACAGAAATGTTAGCATCGCCGTGGGATTGTAAAACCCGATAAACAAAAGGTTACTAAAAATTTATGTTACATTTTGTTACATTTTAAAATTCTAAAATAGTAGTATATAAATTTTTAATCTATGTATACAGTACATTTATTACAAAAATACATCAGTAAAATAGTACTATGTTAATATCTACGTAAATCTATACCTACCGTGAGTGGACAAATGATGCGGTGTCCTTGAGATATTTGTCTGAGATATTTATTGCGAGATCACTTGGAATTGAACCATACACATACACGCACGAACAAACAAACACACACACACACACACATATTATATATGGCTACAGGACATTACCCCCCTGGATATTTCCCCCTTCCCCCGGAATTCCTCCCCCCCCCCGTATTTACCCCCCGGAGCAATTACCCCCCTGTCAATTACCCCCTCCCCCCCGGGAATTACCCCCCCCCCCCTCAAGTTAAAATCCTAACTCTAACTAGAATTTTATATCTATATACTACTTTAATCCAAACCTTAAGAAAAAGATCAAAACCTAAGCATCCACCTTAGCCTAAAACTTCACACAAAAACCAAAACCAAAGCTAGACACAACACGGGAACAGGGCATTTCCCCCCTGTCAATTACCCCCCGGATATTTCCCCCCCGACATAACCCCCCCAGAGTAATTACCCCCCTGTCAATTACCCCCCTGTCAATTACCCCCCGCCCAGTAGGACATTACCCCCCCCCCCCCCCCGGACAGGGTTAGAGTTAGGGTTAGGGCTAGGTTTAGGGCTAGGGTTAGGGTTAGGGTTAGGGTTAGGGTTACGGTTAGGGTTAGGGTTAGGGTTAGGGTTAGGGTTAGGGTTAGGGTTAGGTTTTAGGGTTAGGGTTAGGGTTAGGGTTAGGGTTAGGTTTTAGGGCTAGGGCTAGGGTAAGGTTTTAGGGCTAGGGCTAGGGTTAGGGTTAGAGCTAGTTTTAGGGTTAGGGTTGTGTCTAGCTTTGGTTTTGGTTTTGTGTGAAGTTTTAGGCTAAGGTGGGTGCTTAGGTTTTGGTCTTTTTCTTAAGGAGTATATAGGTATAAAATTTTAGTTAGAGTTAGGATTTTAACTTAAGAGGGGGGGGGGGGGTAATTCCCCGGGGGGGGGGGGGTAATTGACAGGGGGGGTAATTGGCAGGGGGGTAATTGCTCCGGGGGGTAAATACGGGGGGGGGAAATGTCCGGGGGGGAATATCCAGGGGGGTAATGTCCTGTAGCCACACAACACTAACCCTAACACTAGCTCTAACCCTAACCCTAGCCCTAACCCTAATCTTAACCCTAACCCTAACCCTAACCCTAGCCCTAGCCCTAGCCCTAACCCTAACCCTAACCCTAACCCTAATCCTAATCCTAATCCTAACCCTAACCCTAAACCTAAACCTAATCCTAGCCCTAGCCCTAGCCCCAGCCCTAACCCTTACCCTAGCCCTAAAACCTAGCCCTAACCCTAACCCTAGCCCTAGCCCTAGCCCTAACCCTAACCCTAACCCTAACACAAACCCTAACCCTAACCCTAACCCTGTCCGGGGGGGGGGGGGGTAATGTCCTACTGGGCGGGGGGGGGGGGGTAATTGACAGGGGGGTAATTACTCTGGGGGGTAATTACTCTGGGGGGTAATGTCGGGGGGGGGGGAAATATCCGGGGGGTAATTAACAGGGGGGAAATGCCCTGTTCCCATATATATATATATATATATATATATATATATATATATATATATATATACATATATATAATGTGTGTGTGTGCGCGTATGTGTGTGTGTGCGCGTATGTGTGTGCTTAAAGATAGAAAAGTAGGCATACTGAAGGAATATTTGATTGATTGTCTTCGGATATGTTGTTTATATTAGCAGTTACTATTTCAATGGTCCATATAACTATGGTCAGAGTACCTGTATGTGGGTGGTTTCTTTAAGTTGCTATATATATATTGTCATGCTATGGTTGCTCTTTTTATTTTACTCATATTTACGTTGTTAGTATATAAAAGTTCCCTTTTCGAACACGACGGTCAATGGGACAGCGCTTGTTTCTGTGATCTCAAAACATGAAGAGATATTGTGTTCAGCCTTTACTTTACCTAACGTTAGTTAGGTACCTATCAGAGCTGGGTTGACTCTGGGACGTTCCTGAGTTCGAACTCGAGACTTTTGGGTTAGCAGTTTAGCACTCAACCGCTTTGCCTCGTCGTTCCATTGTCATTATGACTATTGTCACAAGATGTTAAAGAAGAGTTTAGTCCCATATCGGATGGAGCGTAGAACCTTGCTAAATGTTTTCACAACACTTTTTTTGCTCATACGTGTAAAACCTAATCTCGACACAAAACATCATCTGCTATTTGTTGATCAATTTCGAACAAAAGAACCACCAACAACAAAATGCATAAATAGGCGGCTATGCACCCCATTTGTCTTTTTTCGTTGTACTATTTTTGTGATATTTATAAAATGAGAAAAAAAAACACAAATTACTTCAACAGTGTGATTGGCTCTTATTCATGTCATGATGAGCTGAGCTAATTATTTGCGCTACTTTAATTAGCATAGTTCTGTTTTAGCATCCTCCTACGCTGTCGCCGTCTACACCCAACCAGACCAAGATATCTTTGTCTGGACAATCACGTGATAAGTCTATAAATAGTAACACGCTAATCAACATCCGGGTATTTTCGTGGCACTAATGATAACCAATGTGCACAATTCACGAATTTTGTGACGCAGCCTTAAGGCCGTCAGTTAAATTTATCACATCTAAAATGTGTTGGTGATAGCACAGTATCAATGGCAATCACCATAACAGGACAAAAAACACGTCATAGGCAGATTTTATGTAACTTGCGTTGGAATGTCAAAATAATTTTTAATTTAAAAGACCGTCAGACATTTCTTTTCAACCTAACATGAGCTTTTTTTAGCGCAATTTCCATTCTGGAGAATTGCGTTTATTAACACGTCATTTCGGGATGTATGAATGAATGGATGTGTGTCCGCAGCTTTAAGTCGTATCTCCTCCTCAACGAAGCAATATCGAGGACTAGTTCCAAAGCAATTATGTTAAGCAAGTTACGAGGATGAACATAGGCTACAAAAATTCCGGGTTTCTTTCATGGATTTCCCGGAAAAGCCAAAAAAACCTCGAAAAATGCAGTTTTTGGCCCATATCTCGGCTACCAGACCACTTAGCGCCTTGAAACATGTACCAATCGATTCCTGCCATAATTTAGAACAATATTGCCGAAGACAGTTTTCAAAAATATCCTTTCGTTCGGTCACAAAAAAATTTTTTAATTAATTAAAATTTGGACCGAATTAGTAGGCATTCTTATCCAACCACACTACACGCGTCATCACGTTCATTAGCTGCGCCATCACGTTCAATGGCTGCGACATCACGTTCGGTAGCTAGGTGCGCAATGGTTTTTAGTCATGTAACTCTATTGTAAATAAAACATGTAAAATACTGAAAAAATTTTTAATAAAAAACGTTTTAATAACTAACCAATGGTTTTACTAACCCTGCTCTTGATTTACGCTACGACAGAGCTATTTTTAGATAACATAAGGAAATTGCGCTAAAATTGTCACTAGACTTTTTAATTACCTTGTTTAACATCTCAATTCATTTTTTTAATGTCACTATAGCGAAGTATAATGTTCCATTTTAGCCGGGCCTTACAAAATACAAATCCTTTAAAATAAATGTTAACTAATCCTTTTAATTTAATTTTAAATCCAAAATATCCTTTTAAAATATTAACATAAAAACTTTAACTTTTATGTAAGTAATCATTATAAATTTATTTGGCATTTAATATTGTATGAAAAGCTTTCCATTAAGCACTACGTTTAAGTTTTTCTAAGACATAATCAAATTGTCCTATAATGTCAGTTAATTAATGCTTGAATAATTGCTTCATTATTTTCTTCCAGGAGCTCAAACTGAGGTCAGCGAAAAAGAGTTGCTGGGAGATAACTACCAGTTTTCTTCGGATTTCTCCCTACTGGGGGGCGACCTGGCAGAGGAGCTGAAATCCTTCCCCTCCCAGGCAGACGACCCCCGGGACGAGAGCACGTCCACGCTGGTGAGTTCGTCTGCTGAGGGGAGCGAGAACGAGACCCGGCTGTGCCCCCGGGGGTGGTCGCACTACAGGAGCCTGTGCTTGTACAAGCCGGAGAGCGTGGAGGAGAGGTGCAGGAACTTGGGAGCTGTGGAGTTCAGTGGACTGTGTCTTAAACGTGAGTAGATGACGTCATAGGGTTCAGTGGACTGTGTCTTAAACGTGAGTACATGACGTCATAGGGTTCTGTGGACTGTGTCTTAAACGTGAGTACATGACGTCATAGGATTCAGTGGACTGTGTCTTAAACTTGAGTAGATGATGTCATAGGGTTCAGTGGACTGTGTCTTAAACGTGAGTAGATGACGTCACAGGGTTCTGTTGTCTTAAACGTGAGTAGATGACGTCATAGGTTCAGTTGTCTAAAACGTGAGTATATGGCGTCATAGGGTTCGGTCGACCGTGTCTTAAACGCGAGTAGATGACGTCACATGGTTCTGTTGTCTTAAACGGGAGTAGATGACGTCATAGGTTCAGTGGGCTGAAACGTGAGTAGATGACGTCATAGGGTTCAGTGGACTGTGTCTTAAACGTGAGTAGATGACGTCACATGGTTCTGTTGTCTTAAACATGGGTAGATGACGTCATAGGGTTCAGTGGACCGTGTTTTAAACATTAGTAGACGTCATAGAGTTTAGTGGACTATGTCAGTGTCGTTATAAAGTTCAGTTGGGTGAACCAATGTCACTAGAGTGTGTCTTATACGTAAGTAGGCTTCACCCTATTTCAGCCGTCCCCAACTTTCGTAGCGCGACGTTTTGAAGAGACACGATCTGGGTGAAAACACCAAAGGTTTTACAGAAATGTACTGTTTATCTAAACAGTACCTATTTCTCTTCTATCGTCGGGTGTTTTTTATTAACTTTCATGGACAATATGCATCTTTGACTTGTTATGATTCTTCTAACATCCAAGAAATTAAAGTGAAACGTATAATTTATGTTATAAAAAGCGTGTCGGAGACAGCTAGATTAAAAAAAATTTCAACCAAGACAGTTGGAAACCTGTGACTTCACGTCTTAGCTAATCGATAATGGGTGGTGGTTACAGGATACAACATGCAATGCTACACTGCTCGCACATAGTACGAGTAAATAGTTTGTCCAGAAATGTTTTGTCCAGGAAATGTTTTGTCCAGGAAATGTTTTGTCCAGTAAATGTTTTGTCCAGGAAATGTTTTGTCCAGTAAATGTTTTGTCCAGGAAATGTTTTGTCCAGGAAATGTTTTGTCCAGGAAATGTTTTGTCCAGGAAATGTTTTGTCCAGGAAATGTTTTGTCCAGGAAATGTTTTGTCCAGTAAATGTTTTGTCCAGGAAATGTTTTGTCCAGGAAATGTTTTGTCCAGGAAATGTTTTGTCCAGGAAATGTTTTGTCCAGGAAATATTGTGTCCATGAAATGTTTTGTCCAGGAAATGTTTTGTCCAGGAAATTTTTTGTCAAGGAAATGTTTTGTCCAGGAAATGTTTTGTCCAGGAAATATTGTGTCCATGAAATGTTTTGTCCATGAAATGTTTTGTCCAGGAAATGTTTTGTCCAGGAAATGTTTTGTCCAGGAAATGTTTTGTCCAAGAAATGTTTTGTCCAAGAAATGTTTTGTCCAGGAAATGTTTTGTCCAAGAAATGTTTTGTCCAGGAAATGTTTTGTCCAGGAAATGTTTTGTCCAGGAAATATTGTGTCCAGGAAGTGTTTTGTCCAGGAAATGTTTTGTCCAGGAAATATTGTGTCCATGAAATGTTTTGTCCAGGAAATGTTTTGTCCAGGAAATATTGTGTCCAAGAAATGTTTTGTCCAGGAAATGTTTTGTCCATGAAATGTTTTGTCCAGGAAATATTGTGTCCATGAAATGTTTTGTCCAAGAAATGTTTTGTCCAGGAAATATTGTGTCCATGAAATGTTTTGTCCAGGAAATGTTTTGTCCAGGAAATATTGTGTCCATGAAATGTTTTGTCCAGGAAATGTTTTGTCCATGAAGTGAGCAGTGGGATAGAACACTGACAATACTCGAAAGATTCTAATTTATAGCATGACCAAAATTACCAGAAAAAATGGGATAATAATTGTTAAATCCAGCGAATGAATTATTTAATAGAATTATATAAATCAAAAAAATTATCACAAGGTTCGACAAAAGAGTATGACTGGAATCGATAAAATAATGATAATGACCAGAAAAACCTAGAAATAAACAGAATGGCTTACGTATCGATTCCATGCCATGATCATAAATATCGATTCAATTACATTAACATAAGTATAGAAACCCTGATGTGATCACAGGTATCGATATGATCAAACGATTCTAGTCCAGTAACTGATCAAGGCGGGACTAGCGAACAACCGGGTGTTTCTGTATAGTACATGAGCACCTCGGCTGTTCCTAATACCGACATAAACAGCCATTACCCCCCCCCCCCCTAGTAGACAAAATCACCCCCCCCCCTCGTCCCTAACACAGACATAAACAGCCTGTACTCCCTCTAGCAGACACGATCACCCCCCACCCCCCCCCACCCCATAACGCAGACATAAACAGCCTGTACTCCCTCCGGCAGTGTTAGCATGAAGGTGACACGTTAATGTGTCATGTGACACCACCTCACCGGATCACGTGTCAGTCGGCCATATTTGTTGACATAACCTAATGGCTGGCCATATCTCGACCCCCCCCCCCCACGTCACACCTAAACCCAGATAAATCCCTGTGACTGGACCTTCCTAGCACCGCCAATAATTAAGTCAATTTGTTTAGAGCTTACCCCACCTCTTTGCCTGCCGTGCAGGACACTGCAAGGTAACTTAAAGTCAACTGCAGTCATCTGAAACTATACAAACATAAAGTCATTACCGGATCGAATTTCCGCCTTGTTTTTCCTCATTACCTGACTCATTTAGCATATCAAGTTACACCCAAAGCATGAAGCGATAACTCACACGTAATGAGAGGAAATGTTTACGTTATGTAATATCGACAAGCTCATTAGCTACGTTAGCAACTAAAAAGCGGTGTGGAAATTTAAGCTGGATCTATTAATTTGACATTTTAAAGTTATAATATTACTCTTAGTAGAAAATGAATGACACTTAAGGTTAATTTTCTACTTATAGTGAAATACATTTATCTTAGGTTGTTTATCTTAGGATTATTTAGTCTTTTAATATCGATAGTAATTGACGCGATAATTTCCATTTAGTTAAAAGCGATAGACACATAAATATAACGGGAATGAACCCTATACTTTCTCGAATATTTTTGCATAATACTGCGGGGGATGGCAACAGGGGATAACATACAGACAGAATTGCAAAGCTCCGTGTAAAACGCCTAAATTTTGATAAATCTGGATTTAGATTTTTTTCCCGATTAAACCAAGTCTTCTATACTCCGCATTTATGATGAAGTATTGAGGTGTAAAACGGTGAAAAACTGTCAAAATTTCATGTAATTTTTGTGCACGATTACAATATTTCCTGTATACTCTGTATACCAGAAAGTAAAAAAAAGTTAAATATACTTTCACTGCACCAGAATAACCCTTTGTGTGATTTGCGTCGGACATTAACCTAATGTTTTTTTTACTTACACTACATCACGTGCCCATTTATCGAAACAGTTTTGTCAATCAAGTCCTGCACTATCTCTACAGCGAGGTTTGTTTATGTATGAAGTCGTTGATCAAGGCCAAGTTCAACACGTCAATTCATTGACCACAATTGGGAAAACCCAACCACTACTGACAAAACAAAACACATCTACTTGCCCTCATGATTCAAACCTTCTACAGACCACATACGTCTATAAAGCCAGTTTTTTTTTTTAAAGATGTGAAAAAATTATTTTAAGAACTCCCAAGGCCCTCGGTCTGATTGAGATCACGTGACAGATCCCTGATTTGTCTTTTAAGGCTTGGCTGGACGGCGTATCCACATCTAGAGCTTTTCCTTAGCTAAACACAACACGCGGTGTTAAAGTGGTGTTAAATGGTGCATGACGGGACTGTCAGTTTGGACCAGAGGGGGGGGGGTAGGTGTAAAAGCTTTGTCAGCTAGAAAACTTCACGTGTGTTGGACAGGAGTACAGCAAGATGGTGGAGTTTAGTGATAAACAGGGGCAGGTAGCTTAAATAATTGTACTCACTTGGACTTGAGTAGAGTAAGATGGGTTAGGGGAGGGGGTGGAGTATAGTGACTGACACAGGAAGGTAGCTTAAACAATTGTACTCACTTGGACATGAGTAGAGTCAGATGTTGGGGGGGGGGGGTTTGGAGTATTGTACAAAAAGTAGATTTGCAAGTATCTGCGACCTTACAAAACAACATTTGAAAGGGTCCGTGGGTTTGTTCTTCTGTTTTTCTTTGTCTCCAGAACTTCACATTTTGTTGACCCCATCAGACGCGAGAACTCCAATTCGATCTATTTCGTTGGACCCCGATCCATATTTGACTTATTCGTGGTTTATCAGGGTTAAACCTTTAGGGAGAGTGTATCAGCGTTAAGACAAATATACCGTCACGCTAAACGTACACAAGTTGACACGGGCCACTTGAGCTATACTTACATGTTGATCTATACCAGTAGTTCCCATATTCGCTCCAGATGTCCCATACTTATAGGTCTGTCCTAGCGGTTCTCAAAATAACTCCATATACCCTTACATATAAATCGTGACCAGTTGTGTTGTATTGCACCATTTTATTTGTATTATTTGTAACTGTCATGAAGCTTTTTTTAAACATTAAAAGAAATAAGTGAAGATTTTAAAAATGTGAATGTCATTATAGTTCGACTGTTAACGAAATTTGATATTCTACTACATTTAGAAAATAAAATAAAATTTGCCTGCGGGAATATAATAGGTGTTGTTTACATTGGGTGATGTACTTATAAAATAATCTGTTATAGATACACCAGCGCTACAGTAATTAATTATCATTAGTTTTATCACGTTAATTCGATAGCTGTCTACTCGCTTGAATTAGAGAGAGACAGGGTGAAATGGAGTGAACTGTTACAATTATTATAATTATAGTGCGTGGTGTCGGTTTTCATTGTTATGCGATCACCACAATTATATTGGCACTGTTGTTTACTGTCACGTTTTGTGTCACCGATATTATGTGTCACTTTTATCAGCTCACCACAGTTCCACTGACATTGTTGTTTATCGTTGTATATTGTTTCATTATTTTTGTCTATTGCCATTTTTGTGTTACCACAGAGTACAATTTTCTATTGTTATTTCTATATCACCAGTCCTTCATGTATAACACAATCACCAACCCACAACCCATTCAGCAACCCACAACCCATTCTCAACCCACAACCCATTCATCAGCCCACAACCAATTCAGCAACCCACAACCCATTCAGCAACCCACAACCCATTCAACAACCCACAACCTATTCAACAACCCACAACCTATTCAACAACCCACAACCAATTCAGAAACAAACAACTCATCAGCAGAGTTTCTTTCAGACATCTCTTCAGGGCGGGGCCACAGACCACCGAAGCACGTCCACAGCCCCTCCGAAAGAAATAGAAATCAAAATATGTTATTCGAAAATACATTTTTAAACAGTGCCCACCACCCCTTACCCGCTAAAATTTCACTGTTTGCTGTTTTTTAATCTGTATTCGAGTTAAAGACTTGACGTTTATGTAATGCTATCCGTAGTCAAATATTAAAGCACGTACATACGTAAGTTAAAAACATTCATACCTTTTTTTGTCTGATTATTTCAGATGCAGATACAAGAGCTCTTCAAGAATCTCAGATTGATGCAGAAAGTTTAAGTAAGTCTATAGTTCTAACAAGTGTTTTAATATTTGCTGTTTCTTGTATAGTTCTAACAGGTGTTTTAACCATATCGTACAATGGTAGTTTGTACATTTCCATTTGTTCAATATTTAGAGAAAAGTATCATCTCTACACGCATCTCCATCCATTTGATAAAAGCATTTGCTCACTTCTACAACCTCAGAAATTAATCTCATAGGTTCCCCACCAACATAATAGTTTTATTAACTGCCCTCTGGTGGTACACACCTCAACTACTTCGAATGTTACAAACCTGACAGTGAATGTTACAAACCTGACAGTGAATGTTACAAACCTGACAGTGAATGTTACAAACCTGACAGTGAATGTTACAAACCTGACAGTGAATGTTACAAACCTGACAGTGAATGTTACAAACCTGACAGTGAATGTTACAAACCTGACAGTGAATGTTACAAACCTGACAGTGAATGTTACAAACCTGACTGTGAATGTTACAAACCTGACAGTGAATGTTACAAACCTGACAGTGAATGTTACAAACCTGACAGTGAATGTTACAAACCTGACAGTGAATGTTACAAACCTGACTGTGAATGTTACAACCCTGACTGTGAATGTTACAAACCTACCAAAGAATGTTACCAACCTGTCTGTGAATGTTACAAACCTACCAAAGAATGTTACAAACCTGACTGTGAATGTTACCAACCTGCCTGTGAATGTTACAACCCTGACTGTGAATGTTACAAACCTGCCTGTGAGTGTTACAACCCTGACTGTGAATGTTACAAACCTGCCTGTGAATGTTATAAACCTGCATGTGAATGTTACAAACCTGCACGTGAATGTTACAAACCTGCCTGTGAATGTTACAAACCTACCAAAGAATGTTACCAACCTGCCTGTGAATGTTACAAACCTGACTGTGAATGTTACAAACCTGCCTGTGAGTGTTACAAACCTGTCTGTGAATGTTACAAACATACCTGTGAATGTTACAAACCTACCAAAGAATGTTACAAACCTGACTGTGAATGTTACAAACCTACCAAAGAGTGCTACAAACCTACCTGTGAATGTTACAAACTTGCCAGTGAATGTTACAAACCTGCATGTGAAATGTGAATATTACAAACCTCACAAAGAATGTTTGCAAACCCTGTGAAAGTCAGTAGTCACCCCCCCCCCCCCACCCTCTGAATAGTGCACCCCTCACCAGAACGAGGCTCATCGATAAATCGATGAATTGTCACGTGGGTGTTGTCGCCTCTCTGGGGTGTATTAGATTGTAGCGTCGGCAGACAGATGAGAGGGTCAGGGATCGGATACCAACTCCGCCACTCTGGAATTACCAGCTGAGACCAGTCAGATGATTCTATTAGCCAGATGAATGTGGGCAGTATTAGGAAACTGCTGTAGCAGTGGTGTCACAAGGTGGAGGGGGGGGGGGGGTCGGTCCAAACCAGATGACAACATTTAAGGCGTGACACCCTGACCAAAAGCCGTAACATTTATTGTCAATACAAGGTTTCATCCAATTGAGATAAGAAAGCAGTTGAGGGAGAGGGAGTACAAAGAACCGAAAATTCATAATTGATGGAGGAGGGGGTGAGACTCTGTTTTTTTTTATATTTTGCATTTTTATAATAATACGTATATACAAAGTGTAGCCCGTAGCTGTTGTTTTGTGCGTTATATAAAATAAATAAATACTTTAATCCTAGGGGGTTGTTGGGGCCCCACAGATTTTTGTGGTGTATCTAAGGCTAAATTGCCGCATGCCCGATGCCTCCACCTAGGTGGCTCGCCTTAGTCACGATCACGTGACCGTTGAAGTTCAACAAGGTACTCTTGCGCCCTGGCCTGTGATCTAAACCCACAACTGCTTTTAGAATAGTTTTGTTTTTAATTAATTAATTTTAATTAAGCATCTTTCTTCATGTAACATTGCGTTTTTAATGCTGTTGTATGTCTGTATGTGATATGTAGGGTGCGTGTGTGGTATAAGTTGTGTGCACTCATTAGTTTAATCAAATTACATCAAGGTTGTGTAATGAAAAATTAGCTCACAGTTAGTAAACAAAATAGCATGTAATTATTTTCTGCTGAATGTAGCATTATTTTAGCTATTAAAATACGAAATATTTATTTTTATTTTTAAATGAACTCCCTGGTAGTTTTACGTGACGGTGTTTCGTGTTCTCTTGTCTAATCTTGCCTTGAAAAAACATCCTCTTTGTTTTTTAAAATAATCTTTCATTCTTTTCTTTCTAATTTTATTCGCAGCCAACATATTGACATTTTTAAATCGAGTGGATGTGATAATACATTAATAAAAACATTGAAAAGATTAAGCTTAAAAATGTGATTAGATTTTCCAACTTAATAAAAAACGGTGTCAAAATCAGTATATAAAAATCGTTTTATTTAAAATCGGGTTAAAAATATTACGTGCACCGTTCCGCTATTTGTGACATGGAAGAAAATTTGGAACCAAATTAATTTTTTTCTTAATAATTTGGCAACCAGTTTATAAAAGAACTTAACTTTTTAAAAACCAATACATTTGAAAATCTTCCGTACGATATATAATCACATGTATGTGTCTTAAAAAGCATTGTATTATTTATTTTTATCTTTTTAAAATTTTGTCGTCAAATGACTTTAATAATTTTGTTAATTTGGCTTTTTTTTTCCAGATAAGAGAATATGCTGCTGTTCTCATCCCAAGGCCAAGGGGAACAACTACGGATGCTGAAAAAAAAATCTATTTTTAGCTTTAGTTGACCTATCTCTCTACACAATCTACACAGCCAATCAGATGAGTCTGAAACAACACTCACCACCTACATACTAGGAACATCAACATCATTTATTTTTCAACACCCATATACATATTTTTAAAACTACACTTATGTAAGCCTCCACAATTCACCACAACAGTCTGCTTATGAAATCCAATCAAAAATATTCAAAAAGTACTCGATTATTATTAAACAAAGCTTTAATGTGAATTATCAATTAAGTTATATTTGAATAAACATTTTTTAAAATGATACGTTACATTTTGAAAACGTTTTAGGGAGCACGCATGTTTTGGGTTGATTATAGCTTCAGCTCCAATTGTTTATAAGCTCCAACTAAGCTCCAGTTGTTTATTAGCCCCAACTTAGCTCCACTTGTATGTTTAGTTCAACACAGCTCCAATGCCAATCTAAAAAAAAATTCTGAAAGTTCGATTTCTGCAAAGACTTCTCATCGACGTATGTCACATATTGCTTTGTGGATATTGAAACTTTATATTATTTGGGTTCGGTAGTTTTATCTGTGTTTGGTTTTAGTTTACTTTCTCTATTGGTAATTTGGATAAGATAATGATTATTTTTGTTTTGCTATTAATACATCGGGTTCTTTATGTTATGTTTTGGTGCGTCGTGTTTGTAACATTATATTTTAAGTTATAAACCTGTATTTAGCTCAGCCTAATATATATATATATATATATATATATATATATATATATATATATATATATATATATATATATATATATATATATATATATATATATATATATATATAATGTATGTATAGAGACAACATACTGCGTCTAAACCGGTCATTGACAAATTATTGCTAACAATCAAGCAATTGACAAAAGGGTCCCCGACAAAAATAGTCTTTAAAAACGGCCCCGTAAATACGTCCTACTACAATAGAGACGCAAGTGTGAGCCATCAAGACTCCTCCATAGATAGGTGGCCAGAGACGTATTAGCGAGAACCTAATTGGGTCTATTAAAAAAAATAAGTCACAAATGGAAACAACATGAAAGAGAAAAATATATCAAATCCTGCAGTGTTGTTGGAAAAAAAACTTTTCAAATTTTCAAACCAACAAAAACTCCATAAATCCACACACACACAAAATAATTAAAATCACCGACGTTACTGAATGTTTTTTCGTAGTACGCTAAAGTTACAAACCATTTTCTATGACAATATATCGCGAATGGAGATGATCCTAATATTCAAGGATTTAGTACATAGAGCACACTGATGTTTTATAGGCTAATCTGTGGATGTGCCTAACGTTCAAGGATCTAGTATTTAGATAAACCTGATGTTCTATAGGCTAATCTCTTGATGGTCATAACGTTAGATAAAACTTATGTTCCATAATTTTATGAGTACAAGGTCTTAAGTTTTTAGATGCGGGTAATGTTTAATGGGTGAGTTTTTGATCATGTAAAGCTGTGTTATTGGGGATCGTTTTCTCGGGGGCCATTTTGCCAAGTTCCGTTTTGTACTTTGGCCGTTTTAACGTTAAACCAACTAATTGTTATCGTGGGCAACGAATTTGAAGCCGTAATTTTGTCAGATATATTAAACAATCTGTCCCGAAAACTAAAATTAACAACTTTGAATTTAAATCAACTTTTATTAAAGCTGTATAACTAGGTAACATAAAAAATCTTGCCTTGCTTAAAGTTAGCACGTGAAATGACGTTTGACGCATGCGCAATGTCTACAATGCTCCATATACGTGTTGTATTTTGCTCATTACGTATTGACAGTTAACTTTTTATTTTGGTGTAATGTTCTTTTAATGTTTTTGTTAGACAACTTGGCGTCTATGTTAGAAGAAATCTTCAGTCTATAGTCTGTCTGTAGAACTTAGAGATTTTATGATTATTTTATATCTGTTTTTATGTGAATTTTAACTCATTTTCAATCAACTCTAAATTATATGTGAGGAACAATAAAATGATTTAACTAAGGCTTTAAAAAGAGATTCTAATCATCCAAAGTCAAAACATAAATAATATAATTAAATAATATATTCTTTTTGGTACGTAAAAAAATGAACAGTATCACATTTAAAAAAAAAAAATTGCATTGTTTTTTTTTTAATTTGTTTGAAAAAGCCTGGATTTTAAATCGCAAATAGTGTGAGGGGAACTACGATAGAAAGACTTAGACAGTTGGAACATTCCGTCTTTTGGTTCTAGATCGGCAAAACCAAGGGGTAGGGGAAGGGTGACGGAGGTTTCCCGCCCTTATTTGACCATGTGTTGGAGACGTCTGCTACATTGGTGACTTGAAATAAACTATCAATGATTTTTTACATTCGTTTTTCTGTCTATTGTTGGCTGATGCGTGACTGAGCTATTTATGTGAAATAATCAATTCCTAGGTAATTGATTTTTTGATATTTTTGATGTATACAAGAGTTGCTTGGTTGCTGGTTCAGCTAATTTATGTGGAGCAACAAAAGATGAATGTCAAACGGTGATACATAGACTTTTGGTAAACATACATAGACATTGTGATACATAGATTGTTGGTGAACATACATAGACAATGGAATACATAGACTGTTGGTGAACATAAATAGACACTGTGATACATAGATTGTTGGTGAACATACATAGACACGGTGATACATAGACTGTAGATAAACATACATAGACACGGTGATACACACACTGTTGGTAAATATACATAGACACTGTGATACATAGACTGTAGGTAAACATACATAGACACGGTGATACATAGACTGTTGGTAAACATACATAATGTAGAGCTCATTTAAAGCGAGAACAATATCAACAAGAGGCAGTGTGGGATGGGGAGATTGAGAACACATGAGATCTAGCGAGAGATTCAACGAGATCTAGCGAGAGAACAAACGAGATTTCGAGTCTCGAGTTCAGCTCACGATTTTAATCAGTAGGCTGTCTTAGAGCCGACTCAGCTCTGATTGGTACCTGACATGAATGGGGTAAAGTAGAGTTGGCTGGTCCAAAAAATACTTTTATATGCTGAGGTTGTAAAAACAAATGAGCTCTTCTTAATCAGCTCTATGTAATATCTAGTTTTGTAGGGATAATTTTCAAGTGCTGACTGCTTCAAAAAAATATGTAAATTTTTCTGGCAAAGGACACTTAATAACAATCAACCACGTACGAATTTCCCTAACAAAAAAAAAACAAAATTTAGAATAATTTTTAAAAATTATTAAAATGAAATTGTAAAGAATTATCTCGTTGAAAGGTATTTATTAAAGCAACAAATTCTCGTAATGTGGTTTCTTGACAGGATCAAGATGAATATAATTTGTTCTATAGCTTTATCTCCAGCTAGCAATTTTATATTTTCTGTCTCCTTCTTTTATTAAGAGAAATTCCTGTCTCCTTCAAGTATGATCATTATTGTTATAATTATAAGAACGTTTTTTACGCGCGCGCACACACACACACACACACACACACACACACACACACACACACATATATATATATATATATATATATATATATATATATATATATATATATATATATATATATATATATATATATATATATATATATATATGAGATACACTAATAAAACACATACATCAATCTCAAACAGGAAATAATTTTCCAAGAACATACAGTTACGTAGATAAAGTGTTATCTATTTAGAAAAAACGTCGTCGATAAAAACCCAGAGGATTTCTACAAACAACGATAACCTATCATTACATTTGAACGGTTAAAGAGACGGACGCACATAAGCCTCGATTCGTCAACGAGACTTACATCCTGCCATTAAAAACTGCAATTCTGCGTGGGTTTATCGATTTTTCTGATCCATTGGCTATCGAGGGGTCAAAGCTATTTGTCCTTATCGAACTATTCAGTCACGTCTGATTCATAATTGGTAAATATTTGCATTTATGCTGACAGATCAAGTAATTAGCATATGAACCAATATGAGCGATCTCTAGACACACTGTAATGACACAAACTATATTGTTGATTTGGCATGGCATTTGATTTAAGTTCAAGTTCCCAATTCAGACTCAACTATCATAGGCAGATGTAGAGTTCACATGATTCTGGACCTCGGCATATGAACGGATGATGTGGTTAGCGCTATAATCTGCCGATTTTACTTACACTAACGTGTCAGGTACCCATCAGGGCTGAGGGACTCAGGGACATACAACAGTCACGAATCCGGACCGAGATTCGAACTCGAGACCTTCGGGCTAGCAGTCGAGAACTCTACCTCTCAATTATGATTGATTTATAACAGATCAAATCTTTTAACCCATGAATCGATGACTAGATTAATTGTTTGATTGTGTGTAACAAGATCTGACTTTTAACTACATGTTGGATAGTCACAGACTACCAGACTCTATAGCCTAGTAGGCAATGATATAGTTGTATTGAACTCCAGGTGGAACCAGTATTGATGTCGATAGGATGGTCACAGGGCTGGATTTAGAGGTCAACACTACCCCTCCAACACACACCCATTAACACCACTAACACCATCACTACCACCAACATCACCACCAACACCAACACTAACCACTACTTTCACCACTACCACAAACCCCACCACTACCGTTTATATTACCAAACCCACCATCACCACCACTAACACCACCACCAACACTACCACTAAAACAACAACTGATACCACTAATACTACTAATACCACTACCACGAACACTTCCACTACCACCACACTACCACCATAACCACTACCAATAAGTTCACTACTACAACTACCACCACCACCACTACCACTAAGTTCACTATTACAACTACCACCCACCACCATCACTACAACCACCACCACCACCACTACCACCACTACCACTACCACCACTACCACCACTCCACCACCATCACTACCACTCTATCACACGCAATGTACCGAATTACCAATCATCACATGTTATCCAACTATTAGTTTATCATTAATAATTTTTAAAAATTCGCTATCCCCCAACTGATCATAAATGATCGATGACTAGAAATTAATCACCGATATTACACCCCAAAAACGCCCCTCTGAGTCAACAAAATCTCCCACGCTGATGTTCATTCAATCCAAGTCCCATCACCCACTGGGGACGTTTAAAACACACCCGGTATAAATACAACGATGGAAGACTACATGCCGGTCACTCATACAGGCGTATTTATTCTATAAATATTTCACATTTATTCATCACTGCTGTGGAATTCATTAACTCGTGAAGATACTTGTATTGCAAAAGCCAAGCTAGAGTTATCGCCCACTCCTCCTACACGGTTGTTTCCCTTTGTATAATAGACACCTTGCACACGTTGTAAAAATTCATCCTATAATAAAACTAAGTAGTTTCAAATCTCACGATGTCTGGTGGATTTTAAAGTTGTTCGTGTCTAGAAAAGTCAAGCTTTTGAAAATATATAAATGACGTCACACTCCTTGGGGGATAGTAGGGGGGGGGGGGGATTTTGTGACGTGTGA